TCGTGATTTTTTTTTTGACTCATCTTTCTCCTGTCACCCTTTCTATCATTTTAGATCAGATTTTGCTAATACAATAGGCTTTCTCTTCAAACTTGGAAATTCCTTCTTGCTTTATTATAGAATAAATTTTCTTTTTTAATCCTTTTTTACTTCAGAGGTGGTTGGGGAGGGGGACAGCAAACAAAACATTCACGTTGCGATATGGAGTGTACAACTTCTTATTACCCAGAGCAGTTTTCCGTATTTTATTTTTATTTATGATATACCTGTAAATTGTTAGGACATCCTAGGGACTTTCCCTTACTCCATCCTCCCAGGCAAGTCTGGTCATATCTCTAGCCCTGCCTGCAGCCAGGTACCTACAAGAATGCAGGTGCTCAGAGACACATGCACACACACACACACACATGCACACAGCCAACCTTCAACTTTTTATTTATGACCAAAAGTTGTCTTGGGTTATAAGAAAACCTTGATATCCTGACAATCATGAAGGCAAGAATTGGGGTCTGCCAACGTGGGGACCACCATGAGCACTACCCCATGTCCCGAAAAACCAGACGTCCCAGGAGCTCCACACAGCAGTCTCATTTTTAATAAGTTCACCTGGCGATTTGATGCATCCATTAGTCTGAGAACACTCCCAGAGGTCTGCCTGTGCCCTCCAGATGCAAATAAGTGGGCATGGGGCTGCCAGGTCTCTTATTATCCAGCTAGGCAGGGGCTGGTCTGGCTCACCTCATGTTCAAAAGCTGGTTTTGCTTCCAAGGAAGAAATGATTTTTATCTCTGTTCATATGGTATGGGAGCAGTACCCTTCTATTCAAAAAATATTCTGGAGAAAAAAGAAGGACCAGAGAAATGGCGGTGAACATAGTCTTCGTTTAATATTCTTTGCACCGTACACTCTGACTACAACCATAGATTCTTGAGCTCTAAGATAATCATGAGCTGCCCCCTTTTGCATCCGCCCTACTCACCAGAATTTGTACATCACACGGCATATGTTTTTACCCTTCTGTTTATTCCTCAGCAAAGTTTACTCAAAAATATCCCTTTAGTTTATAGGCTACTGAATGCCATCACAGATAATCAAAACGTTTTTCCCCATGGCAAGTCCAGATCATTCTGGTGTAGTCCAAATCCATTTCTTTAATCTTGTTAAATACCCTTAAATTCCTCTATCAATACCTAAACTTCCTACTCAACCGTCTCTCCATTTTTTTTGGCAAAAGGACACCTGTTTCTGAATGAAATATTTTAGCAGTTAGAAGGTACAGCTACCATTTATAAATAATCTGTTTCAGGGGATAGACTGTGTGGCTCAGATGTTATGCAAGATAATTTATGTGGCGCAGGGGGCTGGCATTATTGAACCAGCTGGTGAAAAGGTAATTCCCTCTCAATTATCTTTCAATCCTTCTGTTTCCATTTAGGAGAGTCCCTGTTTCATTCTAGTGTGTCTTTAATGTGCCTCCAATACTTATTAACATCCCTGCTTAACACACACAGAGCAGCCTCAGAGTCAAACAGGATAACCTATCTGTCGAACCTTGATTAAGATCAATTAGATTTTCATTGTATTTGTTTTTGTGGTTATCTTCCAGTTATGACATTCCATTCATGAGAGTTTATAAATCATGTAAGTTTTCCTTTAAATATATTTATTTTTAAAAAATGTGAATTGACTAAGAAAACAGTTTTGCTTTGTTTTTTTAAAATCAGGTAGCGTGTGACAGAGCTGCACTAGGACTTTTGACTTTTGCAGGCACCTTGCATTTTTGGGTCCCTTCCTGCATATAATATTATTCAGAATGTATATGCCACAGGAAAGAATGCATTTAGTAAAATATGAAGATCTTTTTGTTTACTTTGATCTCAACCAAAAATTAGTTCTGGTCTGTTGAGAGACAACATAAGTGATCTTCAGTCATGCACTCCCTCAGGGTTATTGAGTCAAAGATGATTTAACTCTAATATCTTTTAAAGACATAATTCTAATATAGAAAACAGAGCCCGGGATTTGGAGACAAACAGAACTAGTCTTGAACCCTCTCCAGACAGTAGCTCTGTGATTGGGGCAAGACCGTTACCTTTTCCAAGTCTCGGTTATCTCATCTGCAGAATAGAGTTAGTAACTCCCCGGTAAGATGTTACTTTGAAGATTAAATTATCTCCATAAATATTTATTGAGCACCTCCTATGTGCCTGGCTCTTTTTTTAAGTTCACAAACGCCACGGTGAACAAAACAGAAGATAACCATTCTTGTGCAGCTGATGGTCTTAAATGGAGTTGAGTACTTGCTTCCTGGTCCTTAAGTCATTGAAGCAGAGTTTGCCTGGGAGTGGTTTAGATCTGAATTTATTATACCCCTGGTTCTTAAATAATTCTCCCTCTTGCTGCTACAGCCTTTGAGGCACAACTAGCTGCCACAGGTTACTTAGAGATTCAGCAAGATCATTCGTGGATTTTTTTTTTAACCTTTTTCTTCAGTTCATAAAATTTTAGCTACCTGCAGGGAAACATTTACATTTGTTATAAATATTATCGCACAATTTTTACTTTTGTTGCTGTATAATGTTTAGCAGTAAACGTAATTCATATTACAATTTTTTTAAAAGGGAAGCATACATTCTCCAGTGCCTGAAAATTCTGAATGGTAAGCTGTTACCCTCATATCGGATTTGCCGCTGGCCAAACTGCCATAGGTACAGCCAGCCACAAAAAGATCTTTTGTCCTGGGCTATGTCACTAATGGAATAGGTAGCTCATTTTTCGTGGTGATAATGCCAGTGAAGTGACCTAGAAAGATTTTCATTTTTCAAAAAGGTTTTTTTGTCTGGCATCATCAAAGTATGTCTTAACCCCTCTAGGCATGACATCTGATCATCAACAAGAAGACTAGGTAACATAATGATAACTGGATAGCTGGACGAGAATATTCAGATTAGTTATTTGAACTTACATAACTTTATAGAAAATGGGTGATTTTTTTTTACTCAGTTTGGAGCAATGGGGGAAAAGGTAGAGCTTGGATATTTTTTAATATTAATAAGTCAAAAATAATATCATCATTCTGTAACCCACAGGCTATGAGAGTCAGCAATACCTTCAGCACAAAAGTTTGATTTGCAGGGATTTTTCTAAGATTTGCTAAGACTTGGCCTTATTGCTAACTATATATTTGAATTTTATAGGGATGCACCCTTGTAAAACTATTGTTGGCATCTCAAATTGTTGGTGAAATTCCAGGCTGATGTCATCTGAGGTGACTAGATTATAATGGGGGAAAAAAAAAACAATAAAAACATCCTTAAAATGCATATTGTCTCTGTATCAACACACATGTAAATTTTGTGTGGTTCCCTTCAGAGCTAGTTATACTGTTTTAAAACAATAATAGAGAAGCAAAGGATAAGGAAATAGAAAGCTACCCAGCTGTGGAATCACCCACCTGACATTCTAGGCATAACATAGTCTAATTACAATGCACTGGCAGTCAGAACAGTTACATAGAGGAGAAAGTTTAAGGCAAAGAATTTCCAGTGTCTTCGTGTTTATTACAAGATCCTGTCTCTTTATTACGAATATAAACAATAAGTTGCTAGAAAGACTTTCACCTTGATATCCCCACCATGTCTTTTCCCACCAAGGCCTGTCTGTCACCTGGTTCCGTTTTGCTACAATACTTATTAGAGTTTGAAAATCATAACATTTAATTTCCTGCCTTTTCCTTGAACATGCAAACTCTACAGCAAGAGCAGAACAGAGATTCTTTCATGGCCATTAAGGAGAAACGAAATAGTATCCAAACTTGCTGATGATTCAAGTCTCAGTTTTGCCATCTTCTCACCCTTGGGAAACTCTCCAGTGTTGGAAGGTATATCTATATCCTGACCCAGTTTTACCTAAGAAGCTCTTTTTCCCGTATATCTGTCCACCAAATTTCAATGCCAAGGATACTCAGCTTTCTTTTCTTCTTACCGTATGGTGGGGAGACATTTTATCCCCATCCTGGCCCACAGAGCTGAGTATCTAGAGTGGCCACTGGGCTTGAAAAACAAATGGAAATGGTCCACGCAGCTTCTTTGGAGTCTACCTTCAAACATAGTATCTAAATCCATGCACTACTGATACAAACCAGTACATCCTTTCTGGAAGCTTATTTGGCTGCATTTCCTAGTCTGCTGCTGATACATACATAATTGGCCGTTATGCATCAGCAGCCTTAAAATCTCCATAGACTTACAGACTTTGACTTTAAGAAAACAATCGAAATCACTATGTTGTACACCTGACGCTAATATAATATCATAAACCATCAATACTTCAATTAAAAAAGTAAAAAATGAATTTGAAAAAAGAAAGTAATTTAACCTTCAGACATGGAGACAAAGGTGTCTCTAAAAGATATTCATCATGACGTTTTTAATAAATGAAAAGTTGAAAATCTTTTCCTACTTAATGTCCAAGAACAAGAATTGGTTATATAAATACTGGTACATCCATAAAATGGAGTTTTAAGCAGCTATGGTCAGGGCTGATATTTTAGGAGGATTTCTAAAAGGCATACCAAAAATTCTCATGCTACAATCCCAAACAAAATTGTGTCACACAATTTGATCGTAACTCTGTATGAATAACGTGAACGAGGAAGAGGAAGAAAAGACATAGAGCAAAATATTAACAGTGGTTATTTTGATTCCTTTCTTATATACCCATTTTTCCCCCATACATTTTTCTATAATTTCCTGTAACAGGCAAAAATGAAATACAATTTCAAAAATTAAGGTACGGAAGAAAAATCAAGGGAGCAGTTGACGGACGGCATGTTTCCAGGTCTTTTTCTACCTCTTAGGCGCGCCGTAGACTGCTCTCTGCTGTGGCACTTCTGCTAGGAATTTACAGTCTCCATTTTCCTACTAAAGACAAAGCGAATACTGCAACTATTGAGGGGTGATGATAAGAATCTGTGTCACCTGGTCTCTGTTCTTTTTCAGCACACAACGGTTCTGCCCTTTATATTGATCGAGATGAGGACATCACACCATGCGTATCCCAGCAGGAGCAGCGGACTTGCCGCCATATGTACCTTCTCTGTTGGCTATATATTATGGTAAGGACAGTGCCTGCTGGGCTTTCGTATTGTATCAGATTTTGCACTGCTAAATTTGGGCACATATTTCATTATGGATATAATCACTAACAGATTCACACTGCGTGCCTCATTTGGTCCAAGACCTGGGCTTTGTCTCATTTCCCCAGATGCTTATATTTTTAGAAAGTATATGCCAAACCTCACACAACAGGAATTTGTTGAACGATCCCATGTAAGCAGTGGTTCTTCCAAGGCTACATTTTTCAACTCTTTTTCAAACTAAATGTTTTTCTTGGACGTCAGTTTTATTGCTTAAGGGCTTTTTTGCTTGGGATTTTTTGTTGTTGTTGCTTTTGTTGGGGAGTGAGGGAGTTGCAGCGAATGCAAATGAGGACAGAAGAAATGACCTCTTAGAGGAGTGACTTCTAACCTCTAAGTGAAACAAGTGAAAATGTACGTTTTCCTGAGTCAGTCTGAAACCTGTCCCAGAATTAGCTATTACATATAGCATGCATTTAACAGTTTGGTTTTTAAAAACTGGGGTAAGTAAATTGCAGGAAATCTTCACTTGGTCTGTTGGGCACAAGTAAGTCCCAAGTGGGAGAGGCCAGATTTATCTGATAAGAGGTTTTGCCCAATGAGTTTACTTCACTTTAATTTCAGTTCTAACCACTTTTTAATATTTCAAAATTATTTATCTTAAGACAGAGAATTTCTTACTTCTCTGCATAATCCCAAGAACTCTTTGATATATTAGCATACACAGAAGAGGTCTCTCCTCTCAGCATTTCAGCCTCTTGGGACGCTCATGTCCTGAGTTCTGGGTCACCTTTCAGCCTGAAGGACTGAATCCCATTCTTCCAAACTCCCCAGAACTGTACTTAATGCCACCAAAATCCCAGAGCACTTTGGGAGGTCCTGTCTCTGTGGAGTGTTTTGCTCCAGCCAGTCCAGAAATATAAAATAAAGGTCAGCACAGTACTTCACATATTTTGCCTAAATGATCACATAATGCTCCAAATCAAACAAAAAGGTCATTTGCTTCTAAAAAGTCACATCCTATGGCTAAATCTAAGGGGACACCCAGACTGCAGACGCCAGAACACACATGCAGTAATGTTCAAACCTATTTGCCACTTCATTGATTTGTCAGTGACTGTTCATTATGACTGGGGAATGTTTGTTTTCCTAGTCGCTTTCTAGATTTTTTTTCCCCACCTAAAATGCTAGGTATTGACTTCCTCTGAAAGAAAAGGTCCAAATGATGAGGGCTCACGGGTGAAATGTGACTTTGAAATTATTTCTTAAAAATGAATGTATGTGCTTTATACATATGAACTGGATGTTCGAATGACTCTGATCTTTCAGAAGAGTCGTGTAGGAAAGCTAGCAGTTACTCTGGGGATGCTGCAATAGTTACAGCACATCGCACATCTGGAACTGCCTACAGCGCGTTAGTTTAAAAATCAAACGCCCTTCCCCCCTCCCCCGAAAATATAATCTCATGACTGCACGCATATTTACTTACCTGTGGGAAAGGAAGCTTTTCACTCTGGATGTATTTCTATGAATTCATTTATGTGCCATTAAATTATCTGAGTCTTGTAGAGCCCTAGAGGTTTCAGGAACTACGTGCTTTCTAATGGCTTTTCTTCCACCGTGGGTACAATCAGTCCACGTTCCAAGGAGACACGTGGGAAATACCACATAGTCTCCACGATAGACCCCCAAGATCCCTCATTAAAATGAAACATTACTTACGCCCTTCGTGCCAAGGGAGGCTTGCCAGCTCTGCGTACTCCCTGAGCAAACCAGCACTTGTTTGGACACATATCTGCATTAACCAGAGCATTCTCCCAGATACGTCCTGAGAAAGCTTCCAAAGTAGACTTTTTCCTTTGGTGTTCTGCCCTTGGCATTCATAACTATGCCAAGAGCTAAACAATGCCCCTCACATTATGTCACACTACATAAATCCAAGGATTTTAGTTGTTATCCAAAAGGTGCTGGCTCTTGCTCCCTTCAGGCTATCTCAGGGCCCATGTACCAGTGACACAGCAGAGGAAGGCTCAGCATATGACATCCTTCCACGGCATCCCAGGGTTGTGACTGGACATTCCAGAACCTTATGCCAAAATGTGAGAAAGGATTCCTCTTACCACGTGCTAATTATAAAATAAATAGACCTCCCTTACAATCCTCTGTACAGTTGAGCTGAGTCTAAACCTCCAAAGCTGCTGCCCAGCCTGTCTGTCTGCTTTGCTCTGATTCTAGCCTTTCACAAGTCTCCCTGCCTGTGTGACTGTGTCCTCTTCCTGGACTTGGATGGCAAGAGCTGAGAAAGCAAGAGATGAGGGGGCTTCCCCTCCCGGACTGGAGCCCGTTGAGCTCCCAAGCTCAGTGG